CTGTCACCCAGGCTGGAGTACAGTGGCATGAGCTAGGCTCACTACAACCTCTGCCTCCCAGGTTCAAGTGATTCTCATGCCTCAGTCTCCCAAGTAGCTGGGATAACAGGCATGTACCACCACATCTGGTCAATTTTCGTATTTTTTAGTTTTTAGTAGAGATGGAGTTCTGCTATGTTGGCCAGGCTGGTCTCAAACTCCCGAACTCGGGTGATCCACCCACCTCGGCCTCCCAAAGTGCTGGGATTACAGGTGTCAGCCACCATGCTCAGCCCCAGTCTATCTTCATTAAATCTCCTCCCACCGGTTCTCACACCACTCATGCAATTTACCAGTTTTATTTGCTATGTATTCCATTTCTTCTAATGAACTCGGACATTTTCTATCTCATTTTATTTCACTAAAAACTGTTGATAGAAAAGTCAGGTTCACAAATGTGAGTGACTAATTCAAAACCTCCAAACTGTTGAACACCTGAAGACACAAAATCACTCCAGGAGACTGACATTTAGTGTCACAAGGCTCATGTCCTCACCCACTGAGAGCAGGTTCCTGAAGTTCTCCAGCATCACATCTCTGTACAAATTCCTCTGGACAGGGTTGAGCAGCCCCAGCTCCTCCTCAGTGAAGACCACAGCCACATCCTTGAAGGTCAGTCCCTCCTATAACATCAAACACACCTTGCTTCAGCATTATTAACAACCACTTGAAAAGAAACAGCACTGAGAAGGTGGAGAGTATGCAGGGTAAGTTGGTCCAGATTTTCAGAGACTTAATGTGTAGATTTCTCAGCCCTTCCCCTTCCATCTTACCAATGCCACACTTCCATTTTCCTTAGCGTCAGTAAAAGTATATCAGTGACAATAGCCTTCAATGTTGTCTTTGTGCCTTCACTGAGTCTATTTGTAAGTAGCTATCTAGAACTCTAAATGATGCATCCTGAGCCATACAGGTTTCACCTTTTGGTAAATATTACCAATTGCCCCAGAAACATTCAGCAAGTCAGAACCAACATAACATGATAACATCCACCTTCCTCCTCTCACACAGGAACCCTGGATGCTATCCCTTTTCATGAAAGTCTGCCAAACTAACAAGCTTTGGGGAACATATCTGGAACTGCTATATAGTTTTCCTTCTGTTTACCTAGGGCACACAGCACCATCACTACCTGCAGTATTTGGTGTCATGATCTGGAGCCATCAGACCTCAGTGTACACCACAAGGGTGCCCTTCAAAGTTGTGTGACCTTGGATAAGTTCACCTAGTTTCATCTTGGATATGACAGTTCTTCCATGACAGAGTTCTTTCAAAGGCTGAACAAGAGACCACATATAGCATTTGGAATAGTGTGTGGCACAGACGAAGTGCCTAACAAACATTAGCTATTATTTATTATTATTATCATCATCTATTTCATCTTACTTCATGACTGCATATTATTCGAGGGAACTGATGATCTGTACCTACCTGTTCTAAATAATGAATATTTAATTTTAAATATTTTTCTCATTACAGCCAATCCAGCAAAAACATCATTTTACGTGGATCTTACTTGTTAATTTTTATTTTATTTTTGATTCAGTTCACAGCCAAAACTTTTTTTTTTTGAGACCGAGTTTCGCTCTTGTTGCCCAGGCTGGAGTGCAATGGCACGATCTTGGCTCACTGCAACCTCTGCCTCCCGGATTCGAGTGATTCACCTGCCTCAGCCTCCCAAGTAGCTGGGATTACAGGCATGTGCCACCATGCTCGGCTAATTTTGTATTTTCAGTAGAGACAGGGTTTCACCATGTTGGTCAGGCTAGTCTTGAACTTCTGACCTCAAGTGATCCGCCTGCGCTGGCCTCCCAAAGTTCTGGGATTACAGGCACGAGCTACCACGCCAAGTAGATCTTACTTTCATGTGTATTTAAAATGACTGCAGGCCACGCACAGTGGGTCACACCTGTAATCCCAGTATTTTGGCAGGCCAAGGCTGGTAGGTTGCTTGAGCCCAGGAGTTCAAGACCAGCCTGGCCAACATGGTGAGACCCTGTCTCTACAAAAAATTAGCTGCATGTGGTGGTGTGTGCCTGTGGCCATACATACTCAGGAGGCTGAGATGAGGGAAGTGCTTGAGCCCAGGAAATCAAGATTGTGGTAAGCCATGATCCCACTACTGTACTCTAGCCTGGGTGACAGAGTGAGACCCTGTCCCAAAAAAATAAGTAAACTAATTGCAAATGAAAAATAAAACACCTAAACATAAACACAATTAAAACTATAAATCACATAATGGCAGATTTTCTTCCTAACCTTTTTACTGCCTCCCTAATCTTTCAAGAGAATACAAGTACCTTGTTTCTCTACATGATGAGCAACATCAGGTTACAAATTTTCCAATGGTTTTGGTAATCTAATTAAGAATAACATTTCTTTTTTTTTTTTTTTTT